AGCAAGGACTAAAAACTGGCCAGTTAAGTAGAAAATTTATTCATTAATCGTATTAAATTATGTGGGCATAGATAAAGGCCCGGTTGACAACATTTAAATCCTTGTCGCTCACATTCAAAAAAGTTCGATTTGGCGCGCACCACTCGGTATATTTTTCAAATGAGACCGTATATTTCGGTGATGTTCTGAGGGTCATACTGTAGAAATACTGGTTTTCGCCGCGCTCCCATGGTATTTTTGTAAATTTCATCAATCTATTAATTTAATTTTCAATTTTATATAAAAATCCAATAAATGCAAGTATTTCGAATAGGCCAATCATGTATAGAATTGACTAATCAATCGTACAAAATTGAGTGGGCATGGCTAAATGTTCCATATAGATAGTATTATTCAACGGAACAAAGAATATGAGAAATTTGAATTCGCCGCAATTCGCCGCAGTTCGCCCCAGTTCGCTTTAGCAACAATGAGTCTCATTCCATACACAAATGTTGCGCATTCCATACACAAAAGTTGCGGCAACATTTACTTGAAAACCGTTTTTTGGTCAAAATAACATACATAAAGGTAATTTAAAGAAGCAATCTTGTAGAAAATGCATTTATCTATGGGATAAAGTTAAGAGAGCAAATCTATATAGCTTGAAATATAGGCAATACCCGATTCGCCGCAGTTTCGCTATTGCAACAATGAGTCCCATTCCATGCACACATACCCTGGGGGAAATGGATGTTATAGAATTGTGAATACGTTTGTCTTCCAAGGCTCAGTAGGTATCAAATATACACAAGATACTAATAATACACATGAATAATTCAAAAACATGTCAATTTGAGAAAAGGTCTTAATAAATTACGTTTGATCTTCATATAAAATTAACAAAATAGGGTGCACAAAGGCCTATACACGCATCATGTCTTTAAATACCAGCAACACTGCGACTGATTTTTTGTTGAACTATTTTGTTCAAACCTTGTTTTAGCCAAAATACAATAAAAGCAAGGATTAAAAACTATCCAAACTTGTAGAAAATTGATTCATCAATGGGATACAATTATGTGGGCATTGCTAAGAGATTTAATTAGTCAGCATTATTCAATGGAATATCAAAATTGAGCAATATGAACGAATTTCCCTTTTCGTTTGTTTTGATTAACCTATTTCGCTACTTGTTTTTTGTTTGACTTTTTTCGCTAAAACCTTTTTTTAAGCAAAATCCAATAAAAGCAAGTGTTTTCAATAAGCCAGTCAAGTTGAGAATAGTTTAATAATTCGGATAAAATTATGTGGGCATGGCTAAATGTTCTATATAGCTAGTAATATTCAACGGAAGAAAGAAAACGAGGAATATGTGTAATAGAACTTGAATTCTTCAGTATATTTTTTAAATGAGACCGTATGTTTCGGTATGTTTCGGTATGTTTCGGTATGTTTCTGACGGTCGGACCGTATTTCTTATCGATAAGAAAGTTCTTTTGCGTCCAAAAGTTGGTGGAAATATTTAAGTAAATTAAATAACGTTAGTTTTTGTCTTCGGTTAAAACAGCTTGCTAATTCTATTAAAAGTAAGTAATAATCAATACATTTTGATTGCGACGTCGTAATAGGTTTCTGCTCTATTTGCGTGGAGCTTGCGCTGAATTGTGGTCTGTGTGCGTGTGTGATTCGGTTATATAAGAAGGAACAATCTAGGCAAAGAGCCGGCAACTCGTGTTTCTATAACATTATTGGTTTCTTGAGGACATTTTACTCGCCTTTATTGTGAAATATGAATGCTAATACAAGAGATTGGTCCTCGCACACACACACACACACACACAGACACATTGTCCAGTGAAGAGAAATGTTCGAGACCCAGCGCACATGGTTTTCCTCTGATTGCCGGCATGTTAACACGATTTCACATTTGTCATAGCGACTTGCATGTGGCCACTGGGTAGGCCGGGCATCGGCCACGCCTCCTCGCGCCTCATTCTAGTGTTTCGTAAGAGGGCCCCCCTCGGATTTAGTTGTATTTATTCTTGTATAGTGGGTTACATAAACGATTTCTTCTGGAAGGCTCTGTGATGCTTATGATGGTGTTGACCTCGAACAATCGCTATCAATGGCCGCTGTCGTTGGAGTGGATTGGTGGGGAGGGTGGGGGCTTGTATCTCCTAGAGTGAACTCTCGGCAAGGGAGTCCATTTTTTTATGGGTTGTTTTCAATTGCAAATAGGATTTTTCTCCGATCCAATTGGACTTACATCATTTTCAATAGATTCGTACGGATGACGAAACACCACTGTACCTTAGCCGCCCGCCCGCTTATCAAAAACAAAAAATATAGTAAATAGTCCACATTGAATATGCGGGCATTAAGCAAACAATAGCGAGAGCACGTGCACGATGTTCTTGTTGGTCGGTTCTTGATTCTCATCACCCATTGATCTCTCTCCCTAGATGTTCCGCTTACCTGTTGCACTTGCACGCACCTCCGTCAGCCGCCATCTGGCGATGCGGGGCTATGCGAAGGACGTGAAGTTTGGCGCCGAGGTGCGCGCCATGATGCTTCAGGGCGTAGATGTGCTGGCCGATGCGGTGGCCGTGACGATGGGCCCCAAGGGTCGCAACGTCATCATCGAGCAGTCGTGGGGATCGCCCAAGATCACCAAGGATGGTGTGACTGTGGCCAAGTCGATCGAACTGAAGGACAAGTTCCAGAACATCGGTGCTAAGCTGGTCCAAGATGTGGCCAACAACACGAACGAGGAGGCCGGCGACGGTACCACGACTGCCACCGTTCTTGCGCGCGCCATTGCCAAAGAGGGATTTGAGAAGATCTCCAAGGGCGCCAATCCCGTCGAGATCCGCCGCGGTGTAATGCTGGCCGTGGAGACTGTCAAGGATAACCTCAGGGCCATGTCTCGCCCAGTGAAAACCCCCGAGGAGATTGCCCAGGTGGCCACCATCTCGGCCAACGGCGATCAGGCCATTGGCAATTTGATCAGCGAGGCCATGAAGCGAGTCGGACGCGACGGTGTCATCACAGTTAAGGACGGCAAGACCCTCACGGATGAGCTGGAGGTGATTGAGGGCATGAAGTTCGACCGTGGTTACATCTCGCCCTACTTCATCAACTCTTCGAAGGGCGCCAAGGTCGAGTTCCAGGATGCTCTTCTGCTGCTTTCGGAGAAAAAGATCTCCTCAGTGCAGAGCATTATTCCCGCACTGGAGTTGGCGAACACGCAGCGCAAGCCCCTGGTGATCATCGCCGAAGACATCGACGGCGAGGCCCTGAGCACTCTGGTCGTGAACCGCCTGAAGATCGGTCTTCAGGTGGCAGCCGTCAAGGCCCCCGGCTTCGGCGACAACCGCAAGTCCACCCTGACAGACATGGCCATCGCCTCAGGCGGCATTGTCTTTGGCGATGATGCTGATCTCGTCAAGTTGGAGGATGTCAAGATCAGTGATCTCGGACAGGTGGGCGAGGTGGTCATCACCAAGGACGACACACTGCTGCTGAAGGGCAAGGGAAAGAAGGATGACGTGCAACGTCGCGTTGACCAAATCAAGGAGCAAATTGGCGAAACCACCTCCGAATATGAGAAGGAGAAGCTTCAGGAGCGCCTGGCCCGTCTGGCCTCCGGCGTTGCCCTCCTCCGAGTCGGTGGCTCCAGCGAGGTTGAGGTGAACGAGAAGAAGGACCGCGTCCACGATGCCCTAAATGCCACTCGCGCTGCTGTCGAAGAAGGAATTGTTCCCGGTGGTGGCACTGCCCTCCTCCGCTGCATCGAGAAACTGGACACCGTGGCCGTCCAGAATGCCGATCAGGTAATTGGATCAGAATTCTTTCTGAGAACTCTTTCACTTATATTGTGATTATCTTTTCCAGAGCCTTGGAGTGGACATCGTGCGCCGTGCCCTCCGCATGCCCTGCATGACCATTGCCAAGAATGCCGGCGTTGATGGAGCCATGGTCGTGGCAAAGGTTGAGACTCAGTCTGGCGATTATGGCTACGATGCACTGAAGGGCGAATACGGCAACCTGATTGAGAAGGGCATCATTGACCCCACGAAGGTGGTGCGCACGGCCATTACGGATGCCTCCGGTGTTGCATCTCTGCTGACCACAGCCGAGGCTGTTGTCACTGAAATCCCCAAGGACGATGCTGCACCGGGAATGCCCGGCATGGGTGGAATGGGCGGCATGGGAGGAATGGGCGGCATGGGTGGCATGATGTAAGCGAATCAGTCTATTTTTAAAGCCATGATGCAGGACGTCAGCAGAGAAGAAGCGAGCTGCACCATCGCCGGCTCCACAACACCAGCAGTCGCAGCGAGCCCTGCCATTATCCATTATCCTTTACGTCGGTGAATCCAGCTATTCTCATTCGCTCACACACATTCTCTTCCTTGATGGAATTTAGTTTTGCTTTGCATTTACCCTTTGGCAAACATGGGAGACCCATCGAAAGGCCGGATGTTGGCTCGCCCTCGTTCGCTTCATTGTCGGCCGTCGCCTCCATCGTGCTCTACGTTTTTTTAACTATTCCTTAATTACTATTTTTTTACATGTTATATATGTAAAAATACCGTTAGTTATACAATCTAAAATAAAGCAGAAGTTACATTGATGACACATCTATACACATAGCGAGACTTTCAAGGGGAGCCCTTGTAGGGCAGAACGCCATCAAAGAAGCATCTAGAAGGCCGTACAGTACGTACATATTGGACGGACTACCGGATCGATTCGGTGGCATTCGGGACTCGCTTCGTTCGATCTGATAGGGATCAGCGATTCGGCTTTCGCTCGCCCAAAAACGGACCGAATGCAGCGAATCGCGTCAGTTTTTTTCTCGCTCACTCTATACTTGAGAGAACGAGAAAGAAGCTCACAACCTTGGCGGATCTTTGCTGAAAATATTGTGTGCGAAAGGGTTCTGCCATAGTATGTGCCGAATCTTTTTAGAAACATTCGAATCCGCAGTGCTCGTATTCGGTTTTTACTGAAGGCTGAAGGCGGGACTCGTATCACCAAGACAACGCACCGGCTCACACCTAGTCCACGCCTCACACCAATACAAACTGCTGCGTTTTTCCTCTGAGGTACTTATCGGACCACCCTCGAATATGTAGCCTCAACGAGGCCTGCCCAATGCTTCGAGGATTTCAAGATGTTCAAAGACATGCGGCGTTTTTTGACTTGTTGTGCTCAAATGTATGTGTATTTGTTGGTTTTTCGGTTTTTTGTTTGCTTTTTGTTCGTTTTATTAATTATAAATACATTTAATAAAAAAAAAAAAAACCTAAATAATGTAACGCTTAGATGTTTAAAAGAAAGAAAAAATATTTTGTATATACTCCGCAAGCGGTTGCTGAGGGCCCCAGCCACCTGCCAGAAAGAGGAGGGAGAGGAGATGCTGCTCGATGGCGATGGCGATGACGATTACGATAACGATTAACGACGACATAATGGCAGTATGTGATCGATGGCAGCGATATATTGGCTGCCCGCGCCGCTGCTGCCTTCTGTGGGCCTATGTTATGGCTAATGGCTGTGATTTGACTTCAGTTCCGTCCGCTCCCCCCGCTGGGGCTCCAGCTGCAGCTCCAGCTCCTAGCACTTGCGCTTGGGCGTCCGGCGCTTCACACCGCAATTCTCGACCTTTTTGCTGCCCTTGGCGATGGCCAGCAGCTTGACCAGCTTCTTGTGCGAGTCCCCCACTATCCAGCCGTGCTTCTGGTACGGCTCGCTCTCCTCAAAGTGCTTCCCCGCCGGCGGCTCTGGATGCTGTCGCTCCTGTTTCTGCTGCTCCCTCAGCACCGCTGCATCTTGCTCCCCATCGGCCTCGACGCGCCCGAACTCGTCGTCGCTGGAGCTGCTCCAGTAGTACAGTTGCTTCTCGCTCGCCGGTCGCTTCCGCCTCGCCGGCGACTGTTTATTCGCCTGGGACTTCCGCTTCGCCTTCAGATTCTTGTTACTGTTGCTGCTGTTGTTGTTGTTATTGTTGCTGCTGCTGTTGTTGTTGTTGTTGTTGTTGCTGTTGCTGTTGGTTGTGGCGGTGGCGGTGGAGGTGGAGGAGGAGCTGCTCCTGGCTGGCGGAGGCGGTAGAGGCGGCAGAGGAGGTGGTGGTGCTATACTGTTGCTGCTGCGGGACTTGGACCGCTGAGTGGTCGGCGTTGGCGTTGGCTTGGGCAAGGCCTGCGGCTGCTGCTGCGGCTCCCGCTGTAATGGCTCTTCCCCCAATGGGACGTCGAGGGTCTTGGTCTGCTGCCTGGAGCTGCGCGTCCTGGCCGGCGGCTCTGCTTTGGGCTCAACCGACTTGTCCCTGTCGTCCTCTATGCCGTTGCCGCGCCTCTTTCTCGAGCTGGCAGACTTTGTGGCCGCTGGAGTCTTAACCTTGGTGGGAGCTTTCGATTTTGATTTAGACTTCGTCTTCGGAGGCGGCTCTGGGGCAGGGGGAGGCCGAGGATTCGGCTTAGCTCGCTGCCGTGCCTTGGCTGTGGTCGCCGGCTTTGGATGCTCCAGCTCCGCTGGCGGCTTCTTCGCGGCGCTTTTCTTGCGCCTGGCGATCACGGAGGGCGTTGGGGTCTTCTTGGCCGCCACTGGTGCCCAAATCGGCTCTGGCTGGGCGTTTGCCTCGCTCGTTTTGCGCTTGCGGCGCTGCTCCTGCTGTTCCTTTTGCTCGATGAGGGCTATTATGTCCTTGGTGGACAGGAACTCCTCGTACTCGTCCGAGCTCCACGTCTCCACCAGCTTCTTGGCCCGGTTGGTGGCACAGCGGCGCTTCGACTTGCGCTGGCCCTCGTCGATCAGCTGCTCGATCTCCTCCGGGCTCATGCCCAGCTCCGACTGCAGCTTTGTGAGGTCCTTGCGGGGCTTCCGAGAGGCCGGGGCTGATGGCGAGGAGGCGGGGGCAGTGGTCGCGGCCGACACCTCTGGCGGCTTGCTGTTGCTACTCTTGGGGGGATTAGCTGGAGGACCTGTTTTGGCCTTTTTAGTCCTGCTGCGCGGCAGGGCACTTGGAGCGGGCATGGCTGCTGGCATGGTCGGCACTGCCGGCGCCGACATGGGCTCCTGCTGATGGTGAGGCTGGGTGTTTGGGTGCGAGTGCGAGTGCGGGTGGGGGTGGGGGTGGGCGTGCAGTTGGGGATGATCCCCATCCCGATCCCAGTTCTCCAGACCCACTGCGGACTCAACCTCTGGCACCTTGGCCGCCCCTCCACCTCGGAGCTCATCAAAGATCTGGTCCAGATTGGCCTGGTTCTTGGGCAACGCCTTGTTCTTGGCCAGCGCCGGCCCGGCCATCGGACTGGAGAGCTGCTGCAGCGGAGTCGCTGCTGCTGCTGCTGCCGCTGCCGCCTTGGTGCTGGCGTGCTTAAAGATGCGGCCCATGATCAGCGACTTGTTCTCGAACGTCTTGGCCGTGGCTCGGCTGGAGCTGCTGCTGCTGCTCCTGCTCCGACTGCGGGTGTTCTCCTGCGTCGAGGACGAGGACGTCGACGAGCTGGACGAGGACACAGCCCTTGCCCCAGCCCCCGGCGGCCCAGCCACCGCGACCCCAGCATCCGTCCTGACCCCACATCGGGCGTTTGGCTCCACCTCCTGCTCCTGCTCTGGCTCCGGCTCCACGTCGCCGTCGCAGCTCAGTGTCCCGAAGTCATAGTCGTCCCGGTCCGAGTAGCTGGCGGTGGAAACGCTGTTGTTGTCCTGCTCCTGGAGCAGGTTCACGCACGTCTTCGGCTTCTGGAACGTGATGCTGGCCTTTTCCTCCAGCCCGATATTCTTGAACGGCCGCTCTGGTATGATGATCCGACCGCAAGCTGGCGGCAGTGTCGCCGAGCTGGCCACGCCCGCCGCAGCCTTGATGATGGACGCGTGCATGATCGTTTTCGACGAAGTCGAGCTCTGCTGTTCCACCGGTCGCGTCGGCGTCGTCGTCGTCGTCGTGGTCCGAGTGTGGCCTGTGGGCGTTGGCGGTGGCTGTGAATGGGGCTGCTGCTGGTGTTGCTGGTGTTGCTGGTGCTGCTGGTGCTGCTGGTGGTGGTGCATATGGTGGTGGCTGGCCGACGGAGGCGTAGCCGCTGCTGTAACGGTGGGACCGGGCAGAACGCCTTGTGAAAGGTGCGGCATGAAGTCGCCGCCAGGCTTTTCGCTGCCGAGGGCGATGTCCGCCAGCTCCGTGAGCTTGCAGACGCCGCGCCCGGTCTTGACCAGCTCCACCATGTCCAGCTGCAGGTTGACGTTCTCGTAGCCCTTCATGGCTGCCTTCGTCTTGAACCGCGAGGTGGTCGCCGAGAACTGCGAGATGGCCGAGTAGCCGGGCGACATCCGATTGTGGTTCCTGCTGGGAGAGACGGATGAGGATGATTGAGAAAAATCTAGTGGCGAGGCAGCACCAAGCATGACTTACGTGGGAGTTGTTGTGGGCGTGACAGCGGGCGGATTCCGGAATAGCTGCTGGATGACCGGCTGATGGCAGACCACCGCCTCTAGCGCTGGAGGCGGCAGCGAGGGCGGCAGTGGCGACGGCGACGAAGGTGGCGGTGGAGATGGCGATGCCGACGGCGACGGTGAGGCTGGCGGCGATAGCGAGGAAGAGGGCGAGGCAGGCGGCGATAGCGAGGGCGATGCTGGAGGCGGTAGCGGTGCAGGTGGCGGAGGCTGTGGCGGAGGCGGCTGTTTCCGCCCGGCAGTAACGATCACCGACGTCGTGGCCGGAAGGGCGGCTGAGGGTGGTTGAGCGGGAGGACCCGCACCCGCGCCCGCACCCGCCGTGGTGGAGCTGGACAGGCGAGGCGTCTCGGCGCTCTTGAGGATGTTGCAGCACTCGTAGAAGAGCCGCTCGTCTGGGTTGAGATTGAGGCGGGCGGCGGAGGTTCCCGAGGGACTGTGCTGGTTGTCGTGCAGCCGCAGGCTGGCCTCGGTGATGACATGATGCACTTGCTCGTTCAACTGCTGCTGGTACTGCTGCTGCTCCTGCTGGTGCTCCACATGGGGGATGATCTGGGAGGGCGGCATTAGAACTGAGGCCCGAATCTGCTGCATCGGCGGTGGATCTTGCTGGTACTGATGTTGGTGAATTTGCATTTGGCCACGCCCCTGGTCCAGGTCCAGGTCCAGGTCCAGGGCCAGGTCCGGCTCCACCTCGAGGTGGCGTGGACTCGATGGCGCCGTCTGCGACTGAAGGTACTCCTGCTCGGACAGCTTCGAGACGTGGGCCAGGGTCATGTTGTGCTTGGACAGAGAGGTGGCCGTGAAGAAGCTCTTGCCGCAGAGGGAGCACGAGTACTTCTCCGCATCGACGAGGCTGCGTTGCGTGCGCTTCTTGGGCCGCGTGAGGAGGACGCTACGCCGCCTCCGGCGTCGCCGGCCACGCCCGCCGCGACCCAGGTCCTGCGAGTAGCTCGTGTAGACGCTCATCTCGTCGTCGAGGTCCATGTCCATGAGCTCCGTGTTGGTGTTCTCGTCGCAGATGGAGCCGAAGTTCGAGTGCTCGTCGTTCAGGTTGGGGGCACTGCGCACACTCATGGACGTCTGCGGTCGGTAGAACTTGTCCTGGTCGGGGTCCATGCGGCCGTCCTGCTCCCCCTGGTCGAACTCGTCGTGGGCGAACTCGAAGTCCTCGTTGGTGGTGGCCGACATGATCTTCTCGTTCACGTTCTTCGCGATCTCCGTGAGGTAGTTGTCCTCCTCCTCGACGCTGTCGCCCGCCGCCGGCACCGCCGTGGCCAGGGCCGAGGTTGTGGCCTGCACATGCTCCGGCTGCTCCTTGTGTATGTTCTTGTTCAGGCGAGGATCCCGGCTGAAGGTGGCCGCCGTGGCCGGAACTGTCCGCTCCTTCTCCTTCTGCAGCTCCAGCTCCAGCTCCGCCTCCCGCTTCTGGTACATCTGCTTCTTGGCGGCGCTGCTCAGGATGCTCGGCCGCAGTATGGAGGCGGCCGGCGGCACTGCCGGCAGGGCGGCCGCCTCTTTGGCCTCCTTCGCCTCCTTGGCCAGCAGCTGCTTCTCGATCCCGATCGAGAAGGACTCCAGGGTCGACTTGAGCATGCTGATGTTCTCGTTGGTCGCCTTTCCGCCCGCCCCCTTGCCCCGGCTGCGGTAGTAGCAGCTCTGTCGCCGTTTCGGCCTTCCCCTGACAGGAAGAGTCGGCGCCGGCGCCGTCGCCGGAGCTGGAGCCGCCTCTGCCGCCTCGCGCGCTGTCGAGTTCCGAGACGGCTTCGATGTGGATGCGGTGGACAGGGCGGGGGCCATGGCCGCGTTCCGCTTGGTGCTGGACATGAGCAGCATGCCCGTCAGCAGCAGGTCCTCGCTCTTCTCGTAGGCCAGGTTCTCCAGCTTCTTGAGGTTGTCTCGGCGGGCGTTGTCGATCTTAAAGCTCTCCAGCAGCTGGTCGGCCACAATGGCCGCCAGCTCGTTCTTCCTGCGACGTCGCTGCTTCTTTTTTGTGACCGGAGCCTGCTCCTCCTCCTCCTGCGGCTGCTCCTGCACCTGCACCTGCGCCTGCGCCGGCAGATCTTCTGTCGCCTCCAGAGTACTCGCCGCCGTGGCCGACTGATCCTGGACGCTGGGCAGCTCGGACTGCGCCAGGCTGTGGAAGCCCGAGGAGGTGTTGTTGTTCATGTTGCTGCTGTGCTCCTCCAGCAGCGAGCTGCAGTTTGTCTCGACCGTGGGCGTGGGCGTCACACTGCGCGGCGGCAGGGGCGGCAGTGCTGGGAGTGCCGGAGCAATGGAAATGACGGACACGGCCACAGAGGGCGCCGACAGTGGGACCATCTCCACGACAGGCAAAGGATCAACAGCAGACCGAGCGGGCAGCTCTGGCTCGGGCTCCACCTCCACCTCTGGCTCCAGCTCCAGCTGCAGCTCTCTCTCCAGCTCCGGCTCCGGCTCCGGCTCTGGCTCTGGCTCCGGCTCTGGCTCCGGCGTATGTTCCTTTATGCATTCAACAGGCGGAGGAGGTTCCACAAGCGTCACCGGTGCCTGGGACGTGGGTGCGGATACTTTCGAGTAAACTGCAGGCAGACGTCCGTCCGTCTTGGTCTCTCCATTGACTGGCGGCACGGACTGGACGCCCTGCAGCTGTGCTTCCACTGGTGGCTCTTCCGGGGCGAGCGAAGCGGAACGGCAGTCGATGGTCTTGGAGCGCATTGAACGCTTCTTTGGCGTCAGAAGAGTCTTCACTGATGCTGCCGTCTGGGGTGGAGCGGGAGAAGGAACAGCCGGAACAGTCGGAACGCCGGCTAAGCTGGCCAGACCCTTCTCCCCCATCGAGGTCGGGGCAAATATCATGCCAGCGGTGGTGGCTGTGACGGCGGCTGTGGCGGCAGCCGTGGCGACGATGTAGTTGCCCGGCCTGGTCGGATGAAGGACTTGTGGCGGCGCCTTTTCGCTCTCCTTGTCGTCGTCGTCGGGCAGACTGGCTTGGACCGCCAGTATGACCGAGTTGATGGCGTCGTCAATGTGATTGTTGACCACCTCGTCCATGCGCAGGCATCCCTTCGGCAGGCCCTTGCCGCCGTACTCCTTCTTGCCGCCCGACGCCTCAACCGAGCGTTTCTTTCCGCCCGTTGCTTTGGGCAGATGCACGGGGATGGTGGCAGCGCCAGCGAGGATCACATTGGATGGGGAAGCCCCAGTGCCAGTGCCAGTCCCCGTGGCAGTGCCAGTCCCCGTGGCAGTGGCAGTGCCAGGATTGCGCACTTGGGGTATCTTGAGCAGGTCCAGGTTCGAGTAGTAGTGCGAGGCCAGTGAAACCGGCCCGAGAGCTGCACTAGCCGCTGGCCCGAGAAGAGGAACTGGAACTGGAGCTGGAACGGGCCCTGGAAGAGCTTGCAGTGGGGGAGCAGCTGGTCCGGCAGGAGCTGTTACCAGGGGCAGCGGCAGAGGCATCGGCATCGGCAGAGGCATCGGAATCTGCATGGGCATCGGCATCGGCAGCGGCATGGGCATCGCCATCTCCTGGGGCACCCGCATTGGAGCCGCAACCGGCGCTGGTGAAGATTTCCTCGCCGACTTCTGGGACAAGTCGAGCGGCTTGTCCATGTCCATCTCCAGAGCCAGAACGTTGCGTGCCTCGAAGCCGCAAATAGTCTGACGCCGGGCGGGCATTCCACTCGAGCGATGGTGCAGTCCCGTGTGGCAGCCGTCGCCGCGTTCGGTGCTCGGCAGCATTGGCTTCTGGAGGCATCCGCGCTGGCTGGTCAGGTTCAGCGGCTGCGGCTCCACCACGTACATGATGGGATTGACGTTCGTATTCGGATTCGGATTTGGATTTGAATTTGCGTGTGGATGGAGCTGGGCAGGCGGCAGATACAACGGCAGTTTCGCCACCAGATTCATGTTGCCATGAACGGATCCCGACGGAGCACCCATCCCCTGCAGTCCCAGAGGCATGGGCCCAGTGGCATGGGGCACGGGCACGGGCACGGGCAAGGGCACCGGTGGGGTCAATGGCTGTGGCTGTGGTTGCTGTTCTGCTGGATACAGCTTGAGGGCAGCTACCGTCGGCGAGGGGGGCGTCGGGGGGACTGCCAATTGCTTGCTTGCTGCCTTGGTGGGGGTTCGCCGCGGAATGCCACCAAACGTGGGAACTGCAGGGGGCACGGCAGCCATGGGTACTGCAAGAACCACAGAGGGAGCAGGAATGGGAAGAGCAACAGGAACAGGAACAGGAACAGGAGCAGGAGCAGGAGCAGGTGCAGGAGCTGCAACAGCCACAACTGGCGCTAGTTCTGGCGGAGATACGGCAGCGGGAACTGGCACTGGCACTGGCTCTGCCGCAGCCAGAGGCTTCTCCTGCGGCTTCTCCAGCGGCTCGGCTTGCTCTGCCTCGTGCCTGGGCCCCAGTGTGGCATCCACTTTGATGATGCGCCGCGACATGGCCTTCCGCTTGGGCGTTTTGGCCTCCGGCAGCTCCTTCTCTGCAACAGCTTTTGGGGGCAGCGTCTTGCAGTCTTTCTCCTCCTCTTTCTCGGGCGCCGGCGGTGGCGGCGGCGCTGGCCTTGGCGGTGGCGGTGGCGGCAGCGGCACCTGCTCAGTCTTCATCTTTTCCTCGAGCTTCCCCGTGAGCATGGCGATGCAGTCGCTAATCCTCTTGCTGCGCTTCACCCCCACATTTGAGCTGGGCTGCCGGCTGCTGGCGGAGGAGAGTCGCGGCGCCACTGGCGAGGACTTGATGGCCGGAGCAGGCGTGGTCGGCGGCGTGGGCATCAGCTGCTTGCTGGGCGTGGGCGAGGCAGCCTCGCGAGCCTCGTGCCTTGTGCATGGCTCCAGATCCAGCTCAAGCTCCAACTCCTGGCCGGATGGAGTGGGCGGTGGAGGCACTTTATCGGGATTCGCAACTTGAAGGAGCGCCAGCGCTGGCTTGGCATCAACGAGAGGTCTTGAATTGGCAGTGAATGTGGCTGGGGGCTTTACCTCCGGCTGTGACTGTGACTGTGACCGTGGCTTCGGCTGTGACTCTGACTCAATGGCTGACAATGGAGTGGGGGATTTGGCTCCTCCTGCGGCCAATTTTGACTTTTGTTGCTGCTGCTTCTTCTGCAGTTGCTGTTGCTGTTGCTGTTGTTTCTGCTTGCGGCGGCATCGCTTCTGTTGCGATGCTGCCACGGCGGCAGCGGAGGCGGCGGCCACCACCGAGGACCGGGTGTTGCGTAGCAGATGCTGATTGTATATCTTCTTTGTGCTCCTCTGCTGCTTCGACATGGACTTGGACTTGGACTTGGACATGGACTTCGACTTGGACATGGACTTCGACTTGGACATGGACTTGGACTTGTTCTTCGACTTGCGCTTGGCCTTGTTGTCCACAGGGAAGATCTTCTTGCAGACGCGCTTGGGGGGCAAGTTCTCCAGCATTTTCCGTATGGACTCGGCTGCAAGAAGGGGGGGAGGATAAGAAAGCGGAAAGTTGAATCAATTTCGGGGACAGTGCTGCATGGAACTGCTAGAAACTTACCATCGCTGGGTCTCTGGCGGGGGGAGTTCTTCATCTTCGACGAATTGGAGCCGCTCTCCTCGCACTCGCCCTCGCCTTCCGCCTCGCCATCGCCATCGTCCTCGTTTTCGGCCTCCGCCTCTGCCTCTCCCTCGGCGTCGCCCTCCAGGGAGTCCTCGAGCTTTTCCTTCTTCCGGCTGGAAAACTGTTTGAGCGGCCTCTTGGAGCAGGGGCGACGCTTCTTGGTGCCGCAGTAGTAGCGGTATTTCCGCTTCTTGGCCAGCGACCAGATGTAGTCGCCGGAGCAGTCCAGCATGTGGCGGTAGAGATCCATAAGGCCGCTGCACTTTCGTCCGCACTTCGTGCAGCTCAGCGGAGCCGAAGAGGACGACGTGGCGGCCGTGCAAGTGGAGGTAGAATGCGAATGGGAATGGGAGTGAGAGGTGGAGTGGGAGTTTGAGTTGGAGTTGGAGGACGAGCTCGGCGAACAGGACGACGAGGAGGTCGTCCCTGTCCCGGAAGCGGGCGACGGCTGCTGGTGTTCCAGATTGGACATGGGCGTGGGCGTGGGCGTCGGCGTCGGTGTGGAAGCCTCGAACGATGATCTGGATGAGGTGGACGAGGAGGTGGTCTCCTCCTCGGGCTGCACGCGCTCCTCCTGCTTGTGCTGCGGCCAGCGAACGCAGTTGCTCTCCGCCGCGAACCGGCCCAGTGCCCGCTTGGGTATGAAGAGGTGGCGCAGCAGGTTCCCCGCCAGCAGCTCCCTGCCCACCACCTCGTAGTGCGTGGCATATATGTGCGAGTGACGGAACGTCTTGTGCTCCTCCAGCGATTTTCGCTGGTCGAACTTGGCCCCGCAGCAAATGCACAGATAGAGGCGCGGTCGCGCCCACTCTCCGCTCAGCACCAGCGAAGAAAATGTCATCTTTTTGTCCTGGTCCTGGTCCTGGTCCTGCTCCCGTTCTCGGTCCCGGTCCCGGTCCCGTTCTCGGTCCCTGATCATGATCCTTTCGGGGCTGGTCCCCTGCCGCGGCTGGAGCTGCAGCAGAGAGAGAAAACTCTCGTCGGCGAAATTCTGGGCCAGTAGATCCTCCTGGATCGTCCCCTGGACACATCCGTAGTCCGCCAGGTTGGGGTCCTCCTCGCTCTCGCACTTAATCACCGCCTGCTCGTTCTGCTCGAGGATGATGTGCGGCAGCAGACGGTGGTCCAGTATGAGATTGAGCTGCTCGAGCAGACGCTGCTGCTCCAGTTGCCTGTGATTACGGTCCCTATCCCTGTCCCCACACCCGTCCGCCCCCCCACCGCCATTGCAGCTGCGGGCGATGGCGAGAGAGACATCGTGCTTCTGGCGCATCGTGAGCTGCGTCCACATGTCCAGCTTCGAGAGATCGCGCAGGCCAAGGAACGTGGGCTGCTTCAGCTTCTTCACCAGCCGCCCGCCCTCGTTGATGATCGTAAACTTCTTTACATAGTCCCACTTCCACTTCCAGCTGTGCTTCGTGTGGGGCCGTCGCCGGAACTTTGCCGGCGGCAGCAGCTCCGCCGTCGAGCCGAACTGTTCCGATGTCAGCAGGGTCGGGTAGGCACTGGCGTGGCTCGTTTGACTAGAACCATGCAGCATAACCAGGTCGGATGTGAATGTGGCTGTGGCTGTGGATTGGGATGTGGATGTGGTCATGGAGCCAGAGCCACAGCCAGAGGCGCCACTTGATGCTGATGCTGATACTGACGCTATGGGGGAGGTGTGGAGCCGTCCATCGAGATAGTTCTGCAGATTCTGTTGGACATTCAGGATGACATCCTTGTAGAAGTTCTCATCAAACACATGCGAGTTGGCGCTGCCGCTGGAGCTGGAGCTGACCGCGACGCAGGCCGAGGAGCTGGGCTGCCGGAAGACAGCGTCTGGAGCTGCGTCCAGATGGGATTGCCCATGGCTATGGCCTTGACCCATGGGCTGAATGGCGGTCGCCGGCATGTGCTGCTGCTGCTGGTGCTGTCGCTGGGCTGCCGCCCGGCTGCTGCTCCTTGACTTGTGGGGCATGGCCAGGGGCGGCTGCTCGTCGTCACCTGCCCGCCGCTGCCGGTTCCGGTGACTGGGCAAGCGGTTCTGGGTGAGACCAAGGCGAAAGAGCACCGGCTCGTCGGCTCCCATCAGTCCGGGCTTTGGCGATGGCGGCTCCTCCAGGTGGTGGTGCTGTCGCCGGTGGCCGGTGAGCTGGTCGGCATCCTGAAAGCGCAGTCGGCACGGCTGGCAGCCAAAGTACTTGTCCGCATGCATCTGGATGAGGTGGAGGAACAGCTGATCCAGATGCTTGACGGGCAGACATATCTGTGGCAGCATCGAGTGCTTCCTGCTGCCGGAGCAGTGTTGGCAGCCGGGAAATCCTCCGGTTGGATGCGAGCTTCCGGAGCTGCTGGTGGAGCGACCGCTGCAGCGCCTCTCCTGCCGCTCCGTGTGGAACTTGTCCACATGCTTGCCCTGCAGCTTGCCAGAGGCGAACTTTCTATCACAGTACAAACACAAGACTTTCTTTTGGCCGGACCCCGGGCCAGAATCAAGGTCAAGGTCTCTTTCCCGCGGCCGGTCCTCTATGAGAATCTTGAGCTTCTCCACCAGTCGGGGCAGACGCTCCAGGGGTAATCTGCAGATCAGTGATGGCTGTTGCTGAGCACTTGACCCCTGTCCCTCTCTCTGTTCCTGTTCCTGTTCCTCTTCCAGTGTCAGTGGGAGTTGGTGTGGGTGTGGGTGTGGGTGTGGGAGTGGCAGTGGCTGTTGCTGCTCCTCATCGTCGTCGTCTTGTTCGTGCCTCAGCTGCCGTTTCTTCCGTCCGGATGGACCAGCTGGCGACGGTCTGATCGCCGCTATTGGTCCAATTGGATTCTTGCCATTGACCTGCTCCTCGGACAGCTTGAAGCCCCGGCGCAGGCCGAAGCGCGACATAGTCTTCATGGGGAAGCCACTTGATTAACCGTTTCGTTGCACAAATTTATATTTATATTTCTGGAAAAGGAGCAAATGCAATTTTTGATAATTTTTTTTAGTTCTTATTTTTTTTGTTGACAAATAAACCGCAATTATGAGAAGAAGCAGAGACAGAGGCAAAATGTGGAAAAACAAAAACTACACACGCACACACACACATGCACACGTGCATATACACGCACATATATTCCACTCAGAAACAACTCTAAAAGAGTGCTTGAGCAGCACACAGTCATGGGTGAAATATGAACCTACACACACACACACACATATATATATATCCAAATATGTCCAATAAATATTTGATTATGTTTTATTTTGTTGTGTTTACCCGTTCACGTTAATGATTTAGAAACGACTGCATGTGCCGCCTTCTGTTTCAATTTGTTTGTTTCGATTGGGGCTCGTTTGATTCCGTTTTATTTGTCCATGCCCCTGTGGTATTGCACTTTAATTCTTCGTTTCCCTCCGTGTGGCGGCCAGCCCACTTGGACCGGATATTGTATTTTAGTATTTTCTCAAATAAAGAATCGCACAGCATTGCATTTGTTTTATTTATTATGTACTTATTATTTTTTTCCACCCTAACAACTGCGTTAGGAGGTATCTAACGTTCAGCCCAAATCGATGCGTGCGTAGAGCAAAGGAACGGACAGGGGCAGGGGAAGCAGACGACGACGGCGGCGATGGCGATGGCAGCAGGACGACGATACTGTCACTGAGGAGTGTGGCAGTGGTGAACAAGAACGATTTTTCTCTCTTGCACAAGAAGCAGCGGCGGCTGCAGGTAGCATTTTTATCCATTTATTATTATTTAACGCTATCCCATTAATGGGTGCGTGCACTTGTTATCCACTAATTTGATTTTAACTATTTAACTCATATTTATATATTGTTCACGCACACATATCAGATTTTGTATACTGTCGAGTTAAATGTGTTTTTCTTATGAGAAGAGTGGGGCTCCGAAATCGCGTCAAAATGGTCGGGTTAGCAGTGTGTCCACACTTTCCCATATCCAGATTCAGCTGAAATCATCGAGATATCGATACTCTTCAAATATAAAACGCAGCTTCTTGCAACTGGATAATGCTGTAGATTAAATGGCTGTCGAATAAAGTTTTTTAAAAATTCATCATTCATTTACTAATTGATTCTGTAGATGCATAGATGGTTTTGTTGTTAGACTATCGATAGTTAATTACTATTCAATAGTTTGTTGATCTACTGTGATGATGACTATCGATAGCCTCGGTGTTGCCATAAAGTTGAACTCTTGGGCTTGTTTTTGACGAGTCATTTTCTCGTCTCGGGCCGAATTTGTTAATAAAAAATAGCTACGAACTGAACAGATATGCCATACAACATGGACATACTCATGCCTGAGAAGGTAAATATACGTTCTAAATAAATAAGTTCATAACATAACAAACACTTTTTATATGTATTAACCAGGACGAACTCTGCGATTCAAAGCCGAAAGATGCGCACAGCTCTTTGGATGAATTGGACATTGATGATTTGTATGTGCGTTATAAGGTAAATACGCATGCAATTACTTCCGTTCTCACAGATCAGTGACAACCGAACCCAACGCTGTTTCAGAAACTTCAAAAAACCTTGGAGTTCATAGAGGTGCAAGAGGAGTACATCAAGGATGAACAACGTAATCTTAAGAAGGAATATCTACATGCCCAGGAGGAGGTGAAGCGCATACAGTCGGTGCCGCTTGTGATTGGACAATTCCTGGAAGCTGTCGACCAGAACACGGGAATTGTTGGCTCCACAACAGGCTCCAATTACTATGTCCGCATCCTGTCCACCATCGACCGTGAGTTGCTAAAACCATCGGCATCCGTGGCTCTGCACAAGCACAGCAATGCCTTGGTGGATGTGCTGCCACCCGAGGCGGACAGTTCTATATCAATGCTGCAGCCCGACGAGAAACCAGACGTCAGCTATGCCGACATTGGCGGCATGGATATGCAGAAGCAGGAGATTCGCGAGGCAGTCGAGCTACCTCTAACCCACTTCGAACTCTACAAACAGATCGGCATTGATCCCCCACGCGGTGTCCTCATGTACGGCCCGCCTGGTTGCGGCAAAACTATGCTGGCCAAGGCTGTGGCTCACCACACAACCGCCTCCTTTATCCGTGTGGTCGGATCTGAGTTCGTGCAGAAGTACCTCGGCGAGGGTCCTCGCATGGTGCGCGATGTCTTCCGTCTGGCCAAGGAGAACGCTCCAGCCATTATATTCATTGACGAGATCGACGCGATTGCAACCAAACGTTTCGATGCCCAGACCGGTGCCGATCGCGAGGTCCAGCGCATCTTGCTTGAGCTGCTCAACCAGATGGATGGCTTCGACCAGACCACCAATGTGAAAGTGATCATGGCCACCAATCGCGCCGACACGCTGGATCCAGCTCTGCTGCGACCTGGTCGTCTTGATCGCAAGATCGAATTTCCGCTCCCTGATCGCCGCCAGAAGCGTTTGGTCTTCTCCACGATCACGTCCAAAATGAACCTCAGCGAGGATGTCGATCTGGAGGAGTTCGTGGCGCGTCCGGACAAGATATCCGGCGCCGACATAAATGCCATCTGCCAGGAGGCGGGCATGCACGCGGTGCGTGAAAATCGTTACATCGTTCTCGCCAAAGACTTCGAGAAGGGCTACAAGAACAACATCAAGAAGGACGAACAGGAGCACGAGTTCTACAAATAGATTTAAGTTAATAGGCCCCCAATATCTTCCCTTACCCTTCATACCAACCCTGTCCCTAAAGTTGTATCAGTAATAAAATAAACAGCATTTCGCTTCAATTTTTCAGCCTTCTGTAGTCTCGTATCTGGGGGCCAGACCATTCCCGGAAAAAGTCCGACATATTTTCACAACAGACAAAGGGAAAGGGAATTTTATTTTAATTGTTCAAACAAATGGGAAATGGAATAAGATAAACAATAATCAAGCAGAGCAGAGCTATATGTAAAGTAGGTTAGCATCTAGGCAGCGCAGATCTGTCTAGATTGCTTCACATGGATATGGATGCGATGCGGCTTCATTCGTTCATTCATTACTTCATAAGCGAGTTGACGACGGCATTCACATTGATGGCTTTGAGGTCCGCATAAGTCTGGCCCGTGCCCACAAAGACGATGGGCTGGCCAGTAATGTAGGTCATGGAGATGGCGGCGCCCACTTTGTCGTCGATGGTGTCGAATTTGGTGAGGACAATGCCGTCGATGATGTGTGGATTTTCGTTGGAGGAGTAGTCGGCGAGGGACTGGTTGAACTTGACCAGCTGATCGACAGCTTCGTTACCGACGAGAGCCTCGCCCACGAAGAGCACCAGATCGGGATTGTTCACCTTGATCAGCTTGGAGAGGGAGCGCATGAGTGGCTCGTTGTCCTGCATGCGGCCAGCGGTGTCCACCAAGACAACGTCCACCTTTGTCTCGTGCGCAAACTTGATCGCCTCCATAGCAATGCCGGCGGCGTCCTTGCCGTAGCCCTTCTCGTAGAGCTGGACCATGGTGCGGTTGTTGTGGTTGGCCGGCGGATGCAGGGCATTCAGATGGCGTGTGTGGGTGCGCAGTTGCTCGACGGCTCCGGCGCGGAAGGTGTCGCAGGCCGCAATCAGCACGTTAAAGTCGTTCTCGATCAGCCAGAAGCAGATCTTGGCTAGATTCGTCGACTTGCCCACACCGTTCACCCCGCAGAAGATGATCGTGTACGGTTTGCCGCTGCGCTTGGACTCCAGGGCATCGCGTATGATGTCGATGCGCCGCTTGGGCGACAGAATGCGGACCAGCGACTGAGTCAGTGCCTCCTTCACCAAGCTGGCAACGCTGTCGAAGGTTCCCACCTGCTTGCCCTCGAGGCTGGTGGCCACCGAGTCGCACAGCTTGACCGCTATCTCCGAGGCAACATTTTTCGATATCAAATGATCGCGCATCTTCTCCAGCGCCGGTTGCAGGTCGGCCATCGACATGATCTTGCCCCCAACAATTCCCCTAAAATAGGACACCAAACCGCCTCCGCGCTTGTTCTTCTTCAGTGCAGGTGATTGGCTGCTCACATTGTCTTCCTCGCTAGACGCCTCCCCACTGTCCACATCATCCTCGCTCTCCACATCCAGGTCAGGGATGACGCCCTGCATGGTGCCCACCAGCTGCCCAAATAAAGATCATGATTAGTTATAGTTATACATTTTTTGATTATGGATTACACAAACGTGAATGAGTCGCACACCCCCAACAATCGTCCCTTTTGCGAGAGTCTCGCTCAAAAAAGTCTCACTAAAGATATCCCATGCAAGATTTAACCGAACAAAACTCTCGCAATCGAAACAAATGAGATAGAAATACTCGTACTCATATGTTTGTTGCAGGAAATGTTTCGGTTACGAAAGTCGCAAGAGATACTGGCAGCAAGCGTTGTGCGAGACAATTTTTCTCGCTTGCAATAGACAAATGTATCGCTTGTACACAAGCGAATGGTATGCATATCCGTGTAGCAGCCTCCCAGCAATCTAGGTCGGCACCCATTTCACTACCCATTCGATGGGTACCCATATCACTAGTTCGCGGTAAACGATGTGTTGTCCCCATGGCCCCCATGTCCTAGGTTATTGTAATAACCGAGTCGATATAGCCAAGATCTCATAGATCACACTGAAACACGTGTGTCTCGAATTGTTGCCACGTTGTGGCGTTGTATGTTGTTGTTAAAACTTTAAAGATCATAAAGAATCCAAGGATCTAAATAATAATATTTGCTCTCGTTGCGATTGATCGGACGACAAGTTGTGTCCCCTTGCCCCGCAAAACTCTCCATCTCTTTCTTTTTCTTATCCTCCACCGATCGTAGTGTTTGCTCACCTCGTTGCTGATACTCTGGTACTGAACATCCTCGGGGGAATCCTTGGAGCGATCGAGAAGGACGGCATCTTTCGAGTTGCCGCCAAGGTCCCATACTCTGGGCTTCTTTCCGGTTTTCTCTGAGGCACCCTGCTTGGCAGCAGACTTGGTATCGGCCGCCTTCTTGGTGGGCGTAAGCTTCTCGCGCAACTTTCGACGGTTTTCCTGTATAATGTCCTGTTTTGTGAGTGGCGGTGATGAGGGCTGCGATTTGGGCTGCGTCGGACTCTCCTGTATATTGACACGTTTCTCGACGGGCTTTTTGTCATCCTGAATCATGGATGCGACGGTTTTCTTCGATTTCTGCGACTCATTGTAAGAGCGCATGGCCTTGGGGGCCTTGACCTGTTTCGAGGATGCTTCTTCGGCCGCAGAGAGCACGCTGCGGAATTCGCCATCGAAATCGTATTCACTGCCTAGGCGCTCCAGGGCCGGTATACTGCCGAACTTTTCCTTAAAGGCGAACTGCATGTCGGCCAGAAAGGCGTCCAAGTAATTGAGCTTAATAACCTTCTGGAAGACAGCCGCGTACACCAGATCCAGCTCATTGTCCAGCTTAAACTGCACCGCCAGGTGGTCCTCCTCAAAGTATTTGGACTCTGTATTCCGGTCCTGCCAACGAACAACATCAATCATCAATATGCATGAGCACAGCAGCTACAACAAAAACAGTGCTTACCTCCAATATCACGCCACGTATTAGGCTGTTTATGCATGACGAGAAGTTGATTCCAGAGGTTTGCGAGTTCCAAAGTACCACGCCGCCTTTCGTGAATATCACTACAAAATCTAACATTTTAGCTACCAAATCCTGCTATACAATCATACGAAACTTCTTCGTTCGAGCATTCCACGTCACTTGCCCTACTGCTCGGATGTGCATCGGGTGGCAACGTCAAAATGTTTGTTTATGTTTTTATATTCAGTCTGGCAGCGCCGGTACAGGGTATATCAGAAATGTTTCCACGTTCTAGGTTCAGTTTTCTTATCGACCATTCATTAACTGATAGCATGATACACAACGATAAATTATTCTGCCATCATTCGCTATATTAGAGCCATTCCACGTTACAGGGTAAAAAGAAAGACGCGACGAATCATAGAATTAGTGGAAAATGTGTCTCGCATTTATTAATGAAAGGGCACGCTTTGGGTGAAAAAATTTCACCCATTTCTTTTTACAATTGGTTCTTATTGCTAACGCGATCGATCATTCCTTTAAATATAGAAACATGAATGAAATTTTAAACCCTTTCAATACGCTTTCGCATATATGAAAAGGGGAAATCAGAAAAGACATTCGCTGAATGCACATAAGTTTTTGTATATATCGAAAAAAAATCTATTTGATGTATGCTGATTTTGATGATTGTTATTGTTCTGGCCCCTCGCAATCTGCTCCATTTACGATCCCACAATAATGTTGTTGATGGGGATGTGTATCAGCTTGACGAAAAAGCCAATGAAGCCCATGATGCAGAAGCCAATTGCGGTGGCGATGGCGATCTTCTGGAACTCCTTGCGGTCGGGCTTGGTGCAGCGTTTCACGAGACGGATCGAGTCCTTGGCGAAAGCGCGCCCTGGCTCAGCGAACTTAACAACTTTGTCCATGTCTTTTTAAATTTTATAGAAACTGAAACTGAAACGAGGGTAAATTCAAAATTAATGAAATTCTTACACTTTCACACGAATCAAAATACGAAGTCGGCGTCGGCGTCGACGCCAACAACAGTGACGTTGGCGACGTGGCAGATGACGACAACATCTCAGGTGAAATCTTGTTGCTGTTTCTGCTTGGACCTTCCAATTGAGTTGGAATCGGATGCAAAGGTCCTTAGACTAAAGAGTTCAATTCAAAATGCTCACTAATATTATGATTTAAACTTAATTTCTTTAAATTATCTGTAAAGAGTGTTTGTAGACATGTAAGAAAGGTGAGAATGCTCAGCTCGAAAACATAACAAAAAAAGGTAGGTGCTTGAGGCCATATCGATTTAGCGGCGTAAGAATTCTCTTTTGTTTGAAGAAGTTTCTCCATTAAATGTATGCTTTAATTAAAAAAACTGAAAATCAAGAAGCACGCACCTGCAAACTGCTTGAAATTTTTCACTGGAATGAATGGTTTCGTTTCGTGTTGTCGTGTCGGCCTACAATCGTGCCAGTTCCACGTCAAAACGTCAAACACCAGAGTTGCTTTGGTACATAGAGCTGCCACTTATTGCAGATGCAGCGGCTATGACTGACATATCACCGATAGTTCATGTTCGTTCCAGAATTTCGCTACCACTTACTATTGGCGTCACTTGAAACAGAGTACCTTACTTAACTAGTTATTTAGATTTGAATTTGGGTTTTTTTCTTTTGAACTTCATGTATTATAACTTACAAATCTAAAGATGACATTGGCAGTCGATAGTATCGATAGGTGGACTCTGACCCAACACACAGAAATCGTTTTCTTGTTTTTCTTTAAGGCATCAAGCTACTAGCGTTTTCATTCAATCGAGAGTTGTAAGTAACCAATTTCCAGTTTTCCAGTTTCCTAACGTTAAATGATATGTTTTTTCCAAGATGCGTGCATACATACATATAATTAGTATACATTTTTACATGCATATTTATATCATTTTATCTAAACATGCAAATTGAAAAAAGAAACTGAAATGAGTGCGCAGCCGAGTCCCTGCATGAATCCTCAACAACAGCAAAGTGAACAAGAGAAGGTAATTAAACATTAAACATTAAAGCGAAGTAATTTCAACGGATACAAATGAATTTTTACCACGGTTTACTTTATTTAGGTGTACCAATGGATCAACGAATTGGCGCATCCGGACACGCGCGAGACCGCTCTCCTGGAGCTGAGCAAAAAGCGTGAAACCGACCTGGCTCCCATGTTGTGGAACAGTTTTGGAACCGCGTGTGCTCTGCTTCAGGAGATTGTTAACATATATCCGTCTATAACTCCGCCCACGCTGACAGCACATCAGTCAAACCGGGTTTGTAATGCCCTGGCCCTGCTGCAGTGCGTCGCCTCCCATCCGGAGACACGCACAGCCTTCCTCCAGGCGCAGATTCCCCTATACTTGTACCCCTTTCTGTCGACCACTTCGAAAACCAGACCATTTGAATATTTGCGTCTGACCAGCTTGGGAGTCATTGGTGCCTTGGTTAAGGTTGGTCCCTTCCCCACCCATTCGCTATAATGCATAACTAAGTCTTCCTATCTTTCAAGACCGATGAGCAGGAAGTTATCACGTTCTTGCTGACCACGGAAATCGTTCCACTTTGCTTGAGCATTATGGACAGCGGCTCGGAGCTAAGCAAGACTGTGGCCACATTCATCATTCAAAAGATCCTGCTTGACGAGTCGGGCCTGTCGTACATCTGTCAGACCTATGAACGCTTCTCGCATGTGGCCATCACCCTGGTAAGTATCCATTCCATCGATCGATGCAAACATGCTCAAGCCGTACCTTATACCATATACCACTACAGGGAAAAATGGTGATCCAGTTGGCAAAAGAGCCGTGTGCCCGTCTGTTGAAGCACGTGGTGCGTTGCTACCTACGTCTCTCGGACAACACCCGGTATGTATTAAGGCACTATATGAAATGCAACAAATCTCTGACTATTTTTGTACAGCGCTCGCAAAGCTCTCGGACAGTGCTTGCCGGATCAGCTGCGCGATGGCACTTTCGCGCTGTGCCTGCAGGACGATAAGTCCACGAAGCAGTGGCTTCAAATGCTACTCAAGAACTTGGAGCTGGGAAACACACCACAGCAAATCGGCATGTCCCCATTGGGCTCCTAGATCATAGACATGCCGAATCTCAAATGTCCCAAGTATTTAATAGGCTTCTTGCCGGCCTGCCTGCTGCCTCCCCACTATGCTTCTTTCAAATCGCTTATAATAAATTCATTTCATCTACTAGTTATCAGAAGTACTTGGCCAGAACGCCTGGATTATAAGTTTCCACGAGGTTGCCTGAGCCTAGCCGCCTAGCGTAAGCAAAAATGTAATATACAGATGTATGTAATTATGAATACAAGCAAAGTAATGTTAATAAGTTAAGCAAATTTCTCTGCTACTAGAATACAATTTAGAATGTACATAAATATTATATAAATAAAGACACATACAGCGAAGCTAGTGCTCTATCGCTCTCACGCATACACTGGCAATGACTCCTGCTCATGCTTCTAGTATATGCACCTAATGCCATCCTGCTCTGATTGGCGTGCTCGGATGGGCGTCGGGTCGGTGAATTGAATGCCAGGCTGCGTGATGCCAACCCTGAAATCCCACTACCATTAAAAAGAGACAATCTGCAGGAACGGTAACGCACACGTTCACATACATTTAATATGGACACACTTATATATTAAACTTGGAATAATTACAACAATTACATCTACAAATATACAGTTACAGGCGCTGCGGGCGCCAAAAGAGAGAGACCACTATGTAACATTAACATCATTAAATCGCCTACCACTACTACTACAATGCTCCAAGTAAAGGATATTGTACGTACTACGTAGGTGCACACATATAGACTGTATTAGTATTACACCGAGAACATACATTTAAATGTGTATATGTATGTATATATATCAATATCAATAAATACGCATATTTATACATGTGCATGTACCAAGATCACATGTAATAGACAGGGGCAGAAAAAAGCACTGAGAACACTCAAATGTGCTGAGAAAATGTCAAATTTCGAATTCCCAATTTAGTTGGTCGGCTTGGTTGGACCGGCGACTGCCGATGCTCGCCGCGCCATCTCTGCCTGACCCTCCGCGGTCTCAAGGTCGACTTGCGAAACTTGCATCTGCGGCAAGGCCAGCATCTGTTCCATGAGGTCAAAACCACTCTTCCAGACCAACAAGTGCGCCCGTAGTTTCAATTTATTGCGGTTCCGAATCAAATGCTTCTCCATGGCGAATCCCTGCCGGGCGCAGGCAAAGTCGCAAGCCCGCTGTCGCAGCACGGGGCAGATGTCGTTGTTTCCATCGCCCACATAGAAGACGTGGTCGTAGCGGATACTACGCCGCAAGTCCTGCTCAATGACAAAGTGCTCAAGGACGCGCCCCTTGCACAGATTGCTGGCGCTCAGCTTGCACTCGCTCTGCTGATGGTGGGGCCGTACCTGAAGCTGCCCGTTAGAGTCGAACTCGGCGGGGTTGGTGAAGATGGCCACAAAGCAGTCGGCCAGATTGTGCGCCTTTACCCACTCATCGATAAAAACACTGTTCGAGTCACTAATGATGATCATGTCGAAGTTGAGTTTCTTGTGTAGATGCTTGATGAGGCGCACGAAGCCCGGGACCTCGGGTATGACTCGGATGGTGTCGCGAATGCGGGCCTCCGTGACTTGTTGCTCATGCAGCAAACGAAAAACCTCAGACATGTACTCGGTCCAACAATCGTTCTCCACCAACTCGTTCAGGGCCCGCGAGCTGACCACTTCCGGAGGCAGCAAGTCCCTCACCACGGTGTCCGTATTTTGGGCCACAATTGTATGATCAAAGTCGAAGGCTGCCAGTCGTCGCCGTTGCTGCTTTTCCAGCCTACAGCAGGCTACGGCTTCAGCGACAGCTGCCGACGACGAGGACATCTTTTGCTTATCTCAATGCCAACTACAGGGCAGCAGCTCGATGCGTTGTTCTTTTGTTTAAACTTTTTCTCATAAACTTTATCCAGCTTTCTGGAAGCTTAACATCATCAGACCTCCAGAAATATACCAAAATAGACTGTATTATACCGTAAATATACTGACGAATTCAAGTTGTAGTTTACATATTCCTCGTTTTCTTTCTTCCGTTGAATATTGCTAGTTATATAGAACATTTAGCCATGCCCACATAATTTAATCCGAATAATTAAACTATTCTCAACTTGACTGGCTTATTGAAAACACTTGCTTTTATTGGATTTTGCTTTAAAAAAGGTTTTAGCGAAATAAGTCAAACAAAAAACAAGTAGCGAAATAGGTTAATCAAAACAAACGAAAAGGGAAATTCGTTCATATTGCTCAATTTTGATATTCCATTGAATAATGCTGACTAATTAAATCTCTTAGCAATGCCCACATAATTTTATCCCATTGATGAATAAATTTTCTACAAGATTGGATAGTTTTTAATCCTTGCTTTTATTCTATTTATTGTAAAAACAGGGTTAAACGAAAAAGTCCAACCAAAAAAGAGTCACTGTGATGCGTGTAGTCCTTGGAATACCCTATTTTGTTAATATTATATGAAGATGAAACGTGATTTATAAAGACCTTTTCTCAAATTGATATTCTTTAGACATATTCAAGTACATTATTAGTATCTTGTGTATATTTCTCTCGATCCTGATACCTACTGAGCCTTGGAAGACAAACGTATTCACAATTCTATAACATCCATTTCCCCCAGGGTATGTGTGCATGGAATGGGACTCATTGTTCTGAACCGGTTATGACGACTAATTCTTGGTTAATCTTTCTTCCGTCGAATATTCCCAGCTATATAGAACTCTCAGTTTTGCCCAAACAGTTTTATATGATAGCTGAATCAATTTTGATCAAGATTAACTATTTTTAAGTACTTGCATGTTTTTTGTTTTGACAAAAACACGATTTCATCAAAAATGTTCAATGTCGCAGGTTGTGACGCCAATGTTGCTGGTATTTGCAGACTCATTTGTTGTCAACTAGGGTATTGATCGTTTGTATACCCTATTTCGTGAATATTATATAAAGATACTGTTTTCCAAGCTGCTTTCAAATGTAATTAATAAAGGCCTTGTTTTAGATTGCATTTTTTTGGTCTATTCATGCATTTGATTAGTTATTTGTATATAAAACCTGATCCCTGTAGCGATTCTTTGTCTCTGTAAGAAGACCACTAATTGTAATATATCGTTTGAAATAGATACTGACTAGTTTCTGCATTAATTAGAGCATGGGATGAAACACATTTCCGCAATTCTATATCATCCATTTCTCCAGGGTATGTGTGCATGGAATTAGCAACATGTTTGTGTATGGAATGGGACTCATCTGTTGCGAACCGGGTATTGCCAAATCCGGATATTTCAAGCTATATAGAGTTTTCAGCTTTGCCCACTTAGTTTTATCCCATAGATTAATACATTTTCTATTTTCTAACATCTTTAAATTGCTTGAAAGTATTTTATTTTGACTACAATACGGGTTTCAAGTAAATGTTGCTGCAACTTTTGTGCATGGAATGGGACTCATTGTTGTGAACCGGTTATTACAGATTCTACCCGATTCCAATAAATACCAAAATATACGGTCTCATTTGAAAAATATACCGAGTGGTGCGCGCCAAATCTAACTTTTTTGAATGTGACCGACAAATGTTGTCAACCGGGCCATTACCGATTCAACAAATACGACGATTCCCTCAATTTTGATCTTCCGTCCAATATCAGCTATATAGAACATTTAGCCATGCCCACATAATTTTATACGATTCATGAATAATTTTTCTACTTAACTGGCTTATTCTAAATACTTGCTTTTATTGCATTTTGCGTAAAAAAAGGTTTTAGCGAAAATGGTCAAACAAATGAAACGTAATAAAACGTAAGAGAGAAATCGTTCCAATTTCTCAATTTCTTTATTCCGTTGAATAAAGCTGCCTAAAAACGTTAGCTTTGCCCAGATAATTTCAAACCATTAATGAATAAATTTTCTACAAGATTGGCTAGTTTTTAGTACTCCCATTTATTGTATTTTGACTGCAGCAAGGTTTAAACAAAAAAGTTCAACAAAAAATAAGTGACAACGTAGTGAGTATGGAATGTAACGGCAGTGAGTATGAAATGTCATGTCAACCGTGGTTAGGTATACCCTATTTCGTTGATATATATGAAGAAAATGTTTTTCCGAGCTGTTTTAAAACGTAATTAATATAGAAATGATCTCAGGTTGTTATGTTTTGGACATATTAATGGTCTTGTAAATATATTTCGATCCCGATACCCATTCTTGGTTTCTGTAAGAAGACCAAAACCTTCAAAATATCGTTGAAATACCTTTAAAACAGAAACTGACTACTTTTGGCCTTTATTTGTGCATTAGATGACAAACATTTTCTCAGCTCTATAATACCCTTTTTCTTAGGGTATGAAAAGTGTTGCCAATGAAAATCGTCAAAAATGCATTTTAAAACTTGTTGCTGCAGCTTTATTTTTTTAAAACATTTTTGGCGATTTCATTGGCCGAAATCAAAAATCGCGTTCCCGTTTTACCCGTTCGTATTGGGCGGTATATTTAAAAAAAAAAAATAATAATTTATTCAGTCAGGCTCCGTTTTTCTTTTACTTTTGCGTATTACGTTTTCAGCGAAAACGTTTCGTTTGAGGTTGGGTTAAAATAAAATTATTTATAAAGAAAGAAAACGTAAAATTATCCTGATATAGGTGTCAAGTTTATGTTAATGCATCAATAAGTCAATTATTTTTTTCCTTTTTTAATTAGGGTTCGTTTCTTTGTATAAAATTCCGTTTATTTTTCATTTCGTCAATGAAAATGTTTTCGTTTTGAAAACGAATAAATCTTGCGGGATGTGAAAACGGGAGCCCCAATTTATGTGTATTCATAAGTAAATCGGAAAACTTTTGTGAATGTGAAAAACGAAGCCTGGCTGTATATGGATATATTATAAGAGGTGTATATCAAATACATATTAAAACTAACATTTCAATACCAATTTCAATACTAGTCCCTGGGCTCCGTTAAACTGACCAACATAGCAAGTACCCTGCTAAACAGCATGATGGGGAGGCAACGGCCGCGACAGAATGTCCAATGTATCATGTTAATATTAAGCGCCTCTCCAGCTTTCGGCTATTATTATGTCGATCAAAGTACAGTAATTTAAGTACATGATTTAAAAGTATGGGACTCATTGTTGTCAACCGGTTATTACGACGAATTCCTCGGTTTTGATATTCCGTCGAATATTACTAGCTAGTTAGATCTCTCAGCTTTGCCCTCATAATTTTATCCTATTGATGAATAAGAACTTGCATGTACTGTATTTTGACTAAAGCTTATAAACCGGTCAGTTCAGTTCGTCACTAAACTGAAGACTCAAAACAAAAACGAAAAGGCAAGCCCCAACAGAAAATAGAAACCAAAAAAACTGTTCAACCGCTAATCCAGAAAGTTCGCTTGCAACATGTCTAGTCCTTATCAAATACCTATTTTCGATCAGCATAGATTCCTGATCGATGGAGATACATTTTTTTTTTCACAAATGACCCCAGTCCGTTAAAATTGTAAAGCTTTTTTACATCTTTATGTAGTTGCCAATGTAGTAAAATATTTCCAGGTTCCAGGTACGTTACTCGTCAGGTGGTTCCATAGGAATTTCATCCCTGTGCAGCATGTAGCATAGTTCAATTTTGTTGTTGTTTTAAGTTAAAACTTTTAGCCCATCGTTTTGCATTGACCCATCGGCCAATCTTCTAAAATGTATCAATTTATGAAATATTTTCAGTGATTATGGTTCTAAATAGCTAGTAATACTAAAGGACACATAAGATTCGAAAGCAAAAACATCATTAACAGGTCATTTCCGATCATCAACACAACAGAACAATTAAGGTGAACTTGTTTAGTTCGTTCTCGAAAAAAAAGATCGCTGATAAGAAGAAACAATTAAAATTTCCAATTTTGTTGCTATTTTCGAAATAGAGTTATGCCACCGCCGAGTTCTGCATTAATTTATCGCCCAAAAATACCGATATTGCTCTGAAAGCTACCCTGTCCATCGATAAGTAGAATCAAAAGTCGGTACATCTAATCTAACGACTTAAAACAACAGAAAGATAGTGTGGATTGGTCCCTAACTCATAATTGATCCGTTTATATACCCCACAAATATATAGAATTTCTATTTTCCGGCCAAAATAATATCACCTACAAATATATTATACAAAAATATATCGATACATCGATATCAATGTATAACATCCCTATTTCGTAGCATTACTTTTTCGACGTCGGAATCGAAAAGAAAAAACACAACTAGCCAGGCGAAGCAAAGCATACAATTTAATAATGAATTCTTGAAAGTGTTCTATGCGTGCCGATCAAGTCTGCTTACGCATTCGCGCGGTTAAAGCAGCAATTTGATTTTTTTAAGACAGTTTCATGCGATGTCTTCTTGCCTGTGCCCAAATCGTTAAAAGTGCGTGGAAGTGTACGAAACCAATACACGGAAAGTGGGACAACGGCAACCGAGAGAGCTCGTTGCGCTTGTCTCCGCTGTTTGTGTGCGACTCTATACATGTGTGCGTGTGTGTTGGTCCACAGTGAGTGTATGTGTGACTACAGTCTTCTCGGCCCCCGTCTCCCCTAGAGTGCTTAAAAATGTGTTTTATTTCTTGTTTAATATTTCCACTACAATATCAAACGCAAAAATAAAAAAAGTGCCTCAGAATGTCGCACCCATGAGCTGGCCTATGAAGCAGACAAAACCATAATATGTCCACAAATAATTTATGTCAATGCTGAGAAGGCGATTGATTTCCTCTACTCCATCTTCTTTTGTCTGACTCTGACTGACGATTTTGCCGCATGGTGAGTTCGCTGTTGCTGTTGTTCTTGGGTCAGGGTTTCGGCGTCGTTTTTTTTGTTTTTTTTTTGC